TCACGTTATCCAAGCCAGAATCGATTTTAATCGATACATCGATTATCAAAACCCACCCCTAATTTACATGACAGACTTCGGTCTCCCTGTTAATTAATATGCATTGCTCCATTTAACTAAAATAAACATAAGCTTAAAGGTCAATTTTGTGTGTTGGGCTGTGATATCAATTGCAGGAGAAACTGGGGCTCATGCAAACTCTATATAGCTGTGAGGCCTATGTAATCAGATTAGGTAAGTAATTGTGTCAGATTGCTTTTAGTTCAGTGGATTAAGTTACTACTACTTACAAAAAGCTGCCAAGTAATTTGTATTCACTGACATGTTCAAAGTAATCTGATCCAACCCTGCCTACAGCAAACTGCACATAAGTGGTAAGTACTGACCCACAAGGTCACGTACAGACATGCCAAGTTGTCCCTGCCTATGAAAGCATGACGTTGTCTAAATAAACCACGTTGTTGTTTCAGGTCTCTGAAAACTTTCAGGAGCTGAAGAAGAGAGCAAAAGCACCTCAAACTCAGGAACTGGTTAAAGAGCCACACTCACTGACAAACAGCACATTGAATCATCCCCGCTGTGGCGTACCGGACTATCCCACCAAGGAAGAGTGGCGGCACCGGGGGCGATACCGCCAGAGACGCTACACCCTGTATGGACAACGCTGGGACAAGACGGACCTCACCTATAGGTACACACTGGGGCCCTTAGCTGTGTTGTAACTATATGCTCTGCTGCATGTGTGTTTGATTATAAATAAAGCTAAATAAAGCTTACAATAATAAAACGTGAACTTCTACAGTCCCGAGAGAACTCGGTGCTGATGTAAGCCACGGGATTCATCCGAAATGTGCAGCTGAAAAAGCGTCCTGCAGTGTTACCATTTGGTGCACGCACATACGATTGTTTTTCTGCTTCAGCAGGCGGCGTTTTCAGACGAGAAAAAAAACTGTTTTCTCAAACCCGAGCAGCAGATGGACACAGTTAGAGATTAGATGGTGAATATGGTGGAATATTTAGGAACAATGAGCCAAATATAGAGAAATTGTAAATTGGAATTGTAGCATCTTAGTAAAGTGTTTGGACAATGATCACAACACTTCAGTGCAGCCTGGTATTGATCCTCCAAATCTCTAAACATCATTCTTCCAAAAGATTTTCATTCAAGTGGTGAAGGAGTAGAAAGCTATGACTGTATGGATGTGGGCAATGTCCACGCTCATCAGCATAAAAATACTTCATCACAGGATAAATGTGACCACTAAGAAATGCTTTGCAGTGACGTTTCCCTCCATCATCTTTTAAGTGATGACACATTAACCTGTTTTCAAGTTAAGGTCTCCACCGGTGCAGTACTGTGTGTGATTATGCCGTTATACAGTTCATGTCTTGCGTACCTTTAGCTCAGTTTTTAAAAGCATCTGTGCACTTCAGGACCCCAACTTTTTGGTTGCAAAGCATTCAAAAACAGCTACTTCACTGATCTTTCAAATAAAACCGACTCCCTCTTACTTCTACACCCAAAGGACTAATTACATGCAAACAAAATGCAATGAATTCATCAAAACCTCCCATGTAAATTGGGAAACAGGGGACATCTGGATTTGAACCAGAGACCTCTTGATCTGCACTCAAATGCTCTACCACTGAGCTATACCCCCTCAGCCAGTCACTTTATGCAGAAGCTAGACATAAGTTCCAGTCTTGGAACGTGAAGGTGATGTTGCTGTGCCTTAAAGCTGCATTCTTTGAAATGAGCAGCTCCAGAGTTGTATAGAAGTTTTTGAGAAAATAACCTAGTTCTCATATCAAGTGACATCACTTTAAGTTAATTAATAGGCATCACTTTAAAGTCATGTCTCTTCTACTTAAATTCGTGTTGATTCACTTCCTCATGTCTCTTCCTTGTTCCCATCTCCACTGGGAGACGAGGAGTTGAGTATGTGCAATTTGGGAAATGATAATGGGAGAGACTCCCAGTTAAAGTTTAAAAAAATATAATATACACAAAAAAGCACAAGCGCATGGTTTAGGGGAGGAGTTGGGAACACTGGCGCTTGAGGCCTGGAGTTCCCCACTCCTGGTTTAGGGTATGGCCCCTTTTCAATCAACCATCGTCCATTGGTTTTTCAGTCACATAGG